ACTTTAGACTGTCGCTAATAGTTCATTTTTATAGGAAAAAAATTCAGCTGTTTTTGTTTTCTCTTTTATTTTTAAATTTTAATTTAACGGAACGTGATCAAAATAAATTTGTGAATTAAAGCAGTTGATTTTCTGTCAAAAATATTTTTATAAAAATTCGTTTCTAAAATTAAAAAGGAGTGGACTAGAATTTATAATTAAAATTTAATTTAAAATAATTATGTAAGAATTTTATTCAAAGAAAAAATGTGTATAAATAAAGAAAACTAAAGCTATAATCATATCAGTTGTGAATTTTTTTAAATCTTCAAAATATTGCAAGGATGATTCACCTAAAGCATTTAATATGCTTAGGCCGGGGTTAAGCGATCTAAAAAGGAAAAACAGAAAGATAGTCAATGCCCCAGTAGTTCAGTGGTGAGCTGCTGAACGTGGTGCGCGAAAGCTCCTAGCAATAACTGTCAGGAGTTCGCAAGCTCGGAGGTCGCAATATGCCCGGTGGCTAAACTTTGCTAAACTTTCTATATTTTAAAAACCCTAAAAAGCGAATGACATTTATTTAATTCTTCAAGCCATTATCTTTCGATTTTAATTAAATTAAAATTTACTTAAATTAAGATTTTCTTTTTTATTAATTTAATGAAAATAAATTTATTAATTTTATAGAGTTTCACTTAAAATTTCAACAAAATTTCAATTCTATTAAAAATAAAAATGGTTTTCTATTTTTATATTATTGCTCAAATTATCATCTTTGTTAATCAAGTAATATTTTTAAAAATACAGGAAAATAATTTGAATTATATATTTAAAATTTATAGTAAGACATCAACATTAGATACCCCTGTGGATAAAAGCTTTTGACATTATAATGAAAATTTTTTATCTTAAATCTTTCATCTTATATCTTAAATTGAGGGTATCGCCTATCCAGAAAGCTTATCCACTCAGTGACCAATCATTTTTAAAAATCACAAATTAAATAGAGGATGCGATCAAATACTTAGGGTTGTTAAAAAGCACCCACAAATCCCTAGGGGTGTTAAAAAGTTTCGGTTAAACAGTAACTGAAGGATCGAAACAGGAACCGAAAATACAAGCAAACCGGAACCGGAACCAAAAAATCACGGTACTGCCTGTCTACCGGAACCGGAACTAGAGCTTCCGTTGGAACCTCAAGTTAAACTAAGCTTTTTAAAGATATTTGGGCACAAGAGTAGTGGAGAGCTTCTTAAATATTTTTACAGGTCAATGCTAATCCTGCTCCAAATAAACCATTGACTCACGAAATATTCCAAAAAGAAATTGCCTCTTCCCATAAAAATAAATCAGGCTATGTTTGCAAAAAGGTAGAAGTAGGCCTAGACTATTGCAATTGTGTTTACAATGGCCAGCTTCCAAAAAACTTTAAATTTCCGAATCCTGATTCAGCAGATTTCACAAAAATTGTCACTGTATTTATAATGATTTGAGATTTAATTATTATAATTCCTAATTTTAGATGCCAGTTTGCGGGAATCCTTTCTTTGATAATATGAAACTTTGCTCGTTTGTATGTTTTTAAATTCTTGAGATTTAATTAATTAGTCGGATCTCACAATACTATGTAATGGTGCTCGAGTATCCCGATCCCGACTCCCGAAATTTTCCCAAGTTTTTGGCCTATCTAACTCAATCTAATTCCCGCGAAGGAGCCAAAAAATTATTATGCAAGATTCGCGACTCCCGAGGTCATTTCCCAACCCGACTACCCTTTCCCGATTCCCGGGTTTTTCTTCTTCAGAGCATCACTACACATACGATACACTTGATGCAGAAAAGTATTGATACTCTTGGAATGAGTGTCTCTTAAATAGAGTTTACCCTCAGGTCCTCTTACAGTATCTAATAAAAGTTTTAAGAAACCTACCTATGTTAAATAGAGGTGTATCTAGTAGCTTTTGAGTCTATCTTATGGAAGTCCGACTAAATTTTTTTCTACTTAAAAGAGTAAAAATGAAAAATTATACGAAGCTAAGATTTCGATTAATTTTAAGGCACATTTCTTCAATGACACCTATCCTACAAATGCCCACAAGGAGGACAAGCATAACCGTAAATTATATCTAAAAATAAAAATTTAAATTCCATTTAACAGCTATGTTTGTCATTTTGGATGGCTGCGCAACTTGCTCTAAAGGCGGAATGATTACAGGCCTCCGCCTGACACACTTTGAGGCCAGTGGAGGCTTCTTTTCAAAATGCTCAGAAGAGCAAGAGTACACTGCAATCCGGGTTGGAGATCTTAACATTAAAATGCCAGCATCGAAGGATATTGACCTCCATACTGCCAAAATAACACTACCCGCTATAATGCAACACCGCCAGTGCAGCAATATTTTTAATATTTATGAAGCTTCTAACAAATATGAAGAGATTAAACTTCATATTGAGCATAAGTAATATTTTTATAACTCAGACCTCGCTATAAAATACATCCAATACTAGAAAAAAATTAAATAATTGTTATAAGAATATAAGCAGAGGTGGGTCGGAACAGTTAGAGATGTCGGAAATCGGACGAGCTGAAATCGGAACTGGCTCAAAAGTCGGAACTCGAAAATAGGAAATATAAATTTTTTCGGAAATCGGAAGGAAAAATGTAAGAAATCGGAATTCCGACTTACCTCTGAATATAAGGTACAATTTTTCTCTCAGAGGTTGTATCCTATAATGAAGCGTAATTTATAAAGAAGGTATCGCTCAGACAGCTTCCCCAACCAAATTACCAAATAATTAATACAATCTCTCATAAATTGAGATGTATATTGTATTGGATGTATTGAATATTGAGTTCAATTTTAAATGTTAAATTTGTTTTTAGTTGCGGTGGCACTAAAGGAACAATGAAAATAAATTTACCAACAGTAGACATAAATGATTTTAAGGCAAGAATTAAATTTTGTCCTGACAAGACAAAAAATAATTTAAAAATACATAAAAATATCATTTTTGAAAGTCTTTTTTGAAAAATTTTGGAAATTTTAAAAATTTTTTTTGAAAAAATTTTTGGAAATTTTTAAAAAATATTTTTGATATTGAAAAAAATAGAAAAAGCAAAATGGTCTGAAAAATTCATTTTAGGACCGTGTGGCAGAATTGAGAGGATTGCTCGTTAATTTGGACGATGGAACCCTCAAACAATATACTCGAAAGGGGAACTCATTCCAGCTAAATAATACTATAGCCTCGAAATGGATGGATCCTAAATTGAAATGTTCGACATCCTCAAGTGCTTGTGTTTTGAATTGAAAAAAAAAATAATTTTTTCCCTCATTAATATTTTGCCAAATTAATTTTCCTTTCATTATTTATCCCTTACTTGTGAAATTAATTTTGGATAAAATTAAAGAAATAATATTTGTAACCTTAAGCTTTCGAGTGATTTATTGAGGCACAGATAAATCAAGAACCTACCCTTCTTAATCATAAAGTCCGGTCTTTAATCCAAAATATCGGATTGAGAATGGACTTGAGAACTGGACAGGACAAAGATTTCAGCTACACGGTCCTCATATCCGGTCTGGAGATAATATATAGACTGACCAGTTTATCGCAATTGATCACTCTCTCTGTTGATCTAGTGATCACTCTATCTTTGTTGTTCAATTGATAACTAAGCATTCACTCTGTTGATCAACTGATCAATTGATCACTCAACGTCTTATCAACAGCTGGTCAACTGGTAAAAGTTTTGGTACGGTACCTTTCTGGCAATTCTGTTAATCTCCTTTGCTTTTTCGAAGGCGCAAGGTTTAGAACTCAAACTTGAATTGAGGAATGATTGATTTTAAGGAATGATTGAGGGAATATATTAAAATAAAGGGGAGAATCAACCTCATTTTGCCATTAAGTTTTCATCTTTTATTTTTGTTGATCTTCGTCTTTCTTGGCTGTGGGGTAGCATTCAGCGCCACCGATTCAGCGCACACGTTTCAGCGCACACGATTCAGCGCACACGATTCAGCGCCATGACGATTCAGCGCCGGCTCGTTTCAGCGCCAGTTATTAAAAATTAATGCCCGCCGCCGGACCGGATCTGTTCGGATTTTTCCGGATTAATCCGGTCCGGAAAAAAACCCGGAAGTGCAAAAACCCCGTATTTGGGATCCGGACTCCGGAAAAATCCGACCGATCCGTCCGGACTAATTTTTAATAACTGGCGCTGAAACGAGCCGGCGCTGAATCGTCATGGCGCTGAATCGTGTGCGCTGAATCGTGTGCGCTGAAACGTGTGCGCTGAATCGGTGGCGCTGAATCGTATCTAACCGCTTTCTTGGTATCTCGCCTTCATTTAGTCGTCTTTCGCTTTTAAAATCAGTTTCGGCACAACTCTGATATACGGCAAACTCAACAAGATAATTTATTAAACTTATAATATTTTTAAATTAAAAAATTTAATTTTATAATTTAATAAATTTTTGAATTAGTCATTTTAATTTTTAACTATTTACCACACACAGCTAAAAAATTTAAAAATAAATTTCCCAGCAAAATCAGCTGATTTAGCTTTAACATTTATTTTTACTAATTTAATCTATTAACTTTTGCCTATTTTTTATTTTTTTGGTTTGATCGGTTTCCGTTTTTAGCTACTCCTCTCTAGCATATCCATCTGATAAGGCCAACTATGTAATTAAAATTGAAGGAAAAAAGAGAGAGAATATATAAAAATTAGTTAAATAAGCTATCAGGCATTAAAATTGGTGATTCATTTAATTAAATTTTTTAAAAAATTTACAAAATTTTTCCACGCCCATAAAATTAGTGTGTATAAAATAGATTTGAATTTAGTGAAAATTAACCTGTCTTATTCCTAAATCCCTTAAATCTTTTTAAAAAACAAAAAACTTTTTTAAAAACGCTCTAAAAATGTTCGGTTTAACCAACAACTCTGTTGCTTTAAACTCAAACGAGAACGGAATGGAAGGTAGTTTAGAATAATTAATTAATGAAAAATATGAGGAATTTTGAAGGATAAAATTTTTAATTTATTTAAGATGTGAAAATCTTGATGGAGAAGGAAATTGGAGTTGGTGAAGAGGCTGGAAAGGGAGTTGAAAACGAAGTTGAAGTGGGCGTTGGCCATGGAATGGGAGTTGAAAATGGAAAGGTTGTCAAAGGAGTTGAAAAGGTTGCCGATGAAGTAGCCTTGAAAGGAGTTGGAGGAGTTGAAGAAGTTGATGGAAATGGAGTTAAAGGTGGCGAAGGAAATGGAGGTGAAGGAGGCGAAGGAAATGAAGGTGGAAATGGAGGTGAAGGAGGAATCAAAGGAGTTGAAGGCGGTGATGGAAATGGAGGTGAAGAAGTTGATGGAATTAAAGGTGGAAATAAAGGTGAAGGAGGAGTCAAAGGAGTTGAAGAAGTAGACGAAAAGGAAGTTGAAGAAGAGGTTGGAAAGGAAGTTGAAAATGAAGTTGAAGAAGGTGTTGAAGGAGGTGATGAAAAGGAAGGAGAAAATGGAGTTGGAGGAGGCGAAGGAAATATAGGTGGAAATGGAGTTGGAGGAAGAGTTGAAGGAGATGAAGAGGAAGATGAAAAGGAAGTTGGTGAAGAGGTTGTAAAGGAGGTTAAAAATGAAGTTGAAGAAGGTGTTGGACATGGAATTGGTGAAGAAAATGGAAAGGTTGGTGAAGGAATTGAAGAAGTTGTTGATGAAGGAGCTGGGAAGGGAGTTGGAGAAGTTAAAGAAAGTGATGGAAATAAAGGCGAAAATGAAGCTGAAAATGGAATTGGAGGAGGAATAAAAGGAGTTCAAGAAGTAGACGAAAAGGAAGTTGAGGAAGAGGTTGGAAACGAAGTTGGAGAAGGAAGTGAAAAGGAAGATAAGAATGTGAATGTAAATGGAGTTGGAGGAAATAATGGTAAGTTAATCTAGATTATTCAGCAAATCGGACCTTTGTTCCAAAATTTTCCTATAATGAGGTTATATTAAGGCTCCCTCACACATAGGCCTAGCAAATTTTGAAGGGCATCTTAACTTTGGTCTATATATTATTTTTAAGCCATGAAAATGAAGAGTGGAAAAGAGTTTGTTAAAGAATTTGGAAAAGGAAGTGTCTTTAATGGCAAGTTTATTTACTCAATTAATTATTAGGATTCAAATGATTAAGTAAAGTACTTCATATTTCTCCCCAATACCATACAAAAAAATTTTTTTAATTTCGGAAAGGCCATAGCTTATCTTAGCTTTAGATTATACTGAATGAATAAAATATACTGAATAAATAATAATTCAGAAATTATGAAAAATTGTGAAAAAATTGTGAAAAATTTTCCAATATGGCTCACCATCGCCACTCTTATGAATTTGTTTGGTCAAGTCTTGGCCAATTATGAGTACTGCCACTCGATTCATTGCCATGGATTGTGGTTGGCTGCTCAGGAAGTCACGAAATGCAACGGGTATTTTTAAATCTTTCTTGCAAATTAGTAAATTAAATACCTATTTATTATGGGGAGAATAAGTTTTGAGTGACTCTCCAGCATTTTTATCCATAAAAAATTTGGGAACATGGTTGTTCTATATATCAATTAAAAGCTTAAACCATCTCATATGACTTGTTTTAAAGAAAAATTTAGTTGAGTAGATAAGCCTGGATAAATGGGATCAAGTGGGTCTTACCAAATCCGGATAGCTATTAAAAATCTTTTTTCGAGTTTTATTCTCTATTTTTTTTAAAAGGATCTTATTCTGCTTCGAAAGCCAATTCACCAACATGGACTTTCTTAGCAAAAAGAGCATTCAGTTGCCAGCGATCTACCGAATCCGTCCCGGTAATGGATCAAGGATGTGCCAGGAGTGCATTAACGATGGCTTCTGCAGGACGCACTATTCTAATGGAATTAAAATCCAATGGAATGGCTTTATGTTGTTTTATAATGGAGATTATAAAACAACAGATGTTGTCTTAGACATCGCAGGCCATCGGTTTGCTTTTCAAATTTTTTAAAAAATATTTAGAATTATAAGGTCCATTCAATTTTTATTTACCCCTAGGAAGCTGAAAAGTCCAAATTGAAATACAGTACCTAATTTGAGAGATATTCTAAGGAGGAAATCCCTGAGGAGATACCTGACCTTAAAATACCTTAAAATTAAATATCTTTATTAAATTTATTTAGTGCGGCATTTAACATCTCAAATGCAAGTCCCCTGGATCTTGTCAACGGATTAGGTTCCGATTCCAACACCCGCGGTAATAATAAAATTATAAAGACAAATTTAAAATGTTCTGTTTAGACAAGATCCACAGCACTCTGAAATCCAACGACTTCTGGAAGAACGTCAGCAATAATGGCGTTCGACTTGAACAAGTTATTGGATATGAGATCCTTGAGAAGGACGTCCAATACTGGGACGAGCAGAACGCTGATGATTTCCGCCGAAACAATTACATAAAAAAGATCAAACTCGACCAATGCCTCGAAGTGAGTTTATGGGAGATACTTTTAACTCATTGAGAGATTGAACTTTGGGGAAATTAGGTTTGATAGACTTCCTCTACCTAGAGATAATTTTAACTCCCTTTACCTGGGATACTTTTAACTCCCTTTACCTGGGGATACTTTTAACTCCTTTACTTGGAGATACTCTTAACTCCCTTTACCTAGAGATACTTTTAACTCTCTCTTTTCTTTGATAGCTTTTTGTATTTCGAATCACTTAACGCTCTCTCTATACGGGACTGAGAAACCGTTCCAACAAACCATTTAGCCTATGTTTTGGTCCTCATTTTAGCACTAAAAAATACCGTATCCTTTTTTGAATAGATTTAGTATTAGGTGTATCTTATAGTTAAGTCCGGCTATATTGCCTATTATCTGCCATAACCTACCTATAGTTAAGCAAAAAATTAAATTTCAAATGGATTTTTAATACTAGTTACTTAAATATTCTTATTTTAGTCCCAGTGCAGCTACTTCACCTCGCCGACCGAGTACGATGACTACAGCTGCAAGTAAATTATATAGCTTATTTCACATATAATCATACATTATAAATTTTTAGCTGCGGCTTTCCGGTCAGCCAGAAGCCAAAAAGCGCCGTGAAGAACGACAGAGTCAACAAAACCACCGCGTGAGTTAATTTGAAGTTTAAAGATAAAATTGAGGGGTTTTTGGGCTAGTCCTTTTTCCGGATTTGATCCTGGGCTTAATCTCATCCTTTAATAGTTAAACTCTATATGCCTTATCCTTTACCTATTAGTCTTATTTTGATTTTTGATAGGTGCTGCAGCCAACATCATCAATGTATTGCAGCTTTGGCTAACTGCACTGGGATTCCGGCCATGAAAAATTACATCAGAATCGACAAAAATTTGTATAATCATGAAAAAGACCAGCGTAAGATTTAAAGATTTAATTTGACTTTAGTTTTAAAAATCTTGTTATTGCAGCTCGTATGAACATCAAGTGCTTGAGTGATCAAAACGATTACTGTCAGCAGGCACTCTGTCTGTGTGACAGGTAGTAAAATTATTTAATAAAACTTTGCTTTAAAACCTATTCGAGGTAGGCAGACATTAGAATCTAGGATCTTTTTGAAGTCGCTTCATTATGGCATGATATTGTCACATAATACTATAAGGGATAGGCGACTTATTAAATTATAGACTCCAAATTCGGCCTGTCTAAGCTCCAAATCCTAGCGATTATTGAAGGGTATTGGTATTCAATTAAGGCTTCCTCAGTATATTCTGTAGAAAAAAATTTTTGGATTTCAAAAGGCCAAGAAGCCAGAATTCTCCCTTTCTTTTTTAGTTTAAAAGGGGTAGTATTTTTACTTTACCCGTGTTACATACCTCAATCAGTGTTATGATCTCTTTTTCATATCCTTAATAAATTAAATGCTAAATAACTTAAAAATTTTTAATTCAGCGCACTCACGAGCTGCTGGTCGAAAATCCAACCCATTCCGTCAGGCAGCGGCTGCTTTAGCTGCTACCTCGACGATGCTTTGCTTTTTGCCGAAGGGCCAATTACTGATGTAATAAAGGTCCGGCAACAATATGTTCCATTAGAACTGGAAACATCATTTCTTTTATTCGACGCCTACAATGGCAAGGATCTCCCGACGGCCAATGAAACCATCATATTGGCCGTCATGAACGTGAACAACGGGATTTCCACCGTTCGTAGGTCGGAAAAAACAATGGAGCAGATCATCCATTCCACGCGAATTTTGATTGACAACGATGTCAACAAATATGAGGAGCTTTCTACAGCATTCAACAACGATCTAGAAATAAGAGCTCTAAGATCGACGAATGAATACCGTTCGGTTATGCTTAGAATTGCTCCCTACCTCTATACAACTGAACAATATAAAACTTACCATGCTAGTAAAAGATTATTGAACGCCACAAAGGAATTGGAAAATCTGTTTATAAAGAAGACCCATGAAAAAATGAAGAATCCGTAAATAATTAATTTTGAAAAAAATTTTCCTCTGACATTATTCCGTTCCTGAAAGTAAAATTTAGATTTTGAATAATTCCCCAGCCCTCCCCCCTTCTTCCTCCCCGGAAAAATTTCTTTAAAGTAAATTTTCGTCTTTAATAAGTCTGGTTAACAGAAAAATTCAAATTTTTCGGATTTTCTAAATTCCCACTCTGAATAATTTTATTTGATTCGAGGTTTGTAAATGTATGGATATCCAAAAATTTTCGGATCGATATCGAAACCGAAGTTTAATGTATGAGGATTTCCCAGGATTCGCCAACTAACTCTGAATTCTTTAATTCACCTCCCGCCTTCCCCCTCCAACTCTTCTCCGTTTTCACTGCCAATTTTTTAAATTGTCTTTTTATTTTGATAATTTGTAAAATATTATAATTAAATGATAAATTTTTATTTATTTTTTTCCTTAAATCATAGGCAATATTAAATTCTTAGTAAAATAAATAAAATTCTTTAATCTATTAACATTGGCATGAATACGAAAAGATAAATCCTTAAAATACTTTTAACACCAAGATCGAATTAGGGTCAATCAACGTCTCCGGTCCTGAGTAGATGGAGTTTCCTTCCTTAAATCGTTTCCTTCCTTAAATTGACGTTTCAATAGCTAAAAACTCAAAATTTTGTTATAAATTATATGATTATTTTTTATCACACTCGTCTTTTCTCATCATGAAATCAATTTTTTCGAATACTATTTCTAGTAGGTTTCAAATTCAAGTTCATTAAGGTAATGAACTTGATTTTCAAGTTCAGTAAAGTAAAATTTAGTTTTTGAATACTCCCCCCACACCCGCCCTCACCGGAAAAATTTAGATTAAATATGATTTATGTGGGTTCAAATAAATATATGTCCCACTATGCATTCCTACTTATTTCTGATATTTTCAAAATCTAAGAACTTTCTTCTACTAATCTTTTTTCTCATAAATCAAATAAACTTTATCAAATATTATTTATTATTGGATTTCCAGTTCGATCTAATTTTTTAGAGGCTTACTGCTCGAATTGACAAAATAAATCTTTTTTGTTCATGTTTCAATAAGTATATGTTCCATTCTTCAAAAAATATTTTCAATTAAATATGATTTACATATTTGGGTAACATAATCATAATTTATTTCTAGTGTATATGAAAACTTATCATATTTTCTCAAGGCTAGCGAGTTTCAAAAAAAAGAGAGATATCAAGGAAGAGAGCTTATCAAGAGAGAGTTGAGATAGTTAAGCGGTTAACAACGATATTATCGAAGAACTCTCAAGGCCAAATCCTCTAGAATCTGTAGCTATTTTCTGAAATGGATTTTGACTCTTTTCTTTAATCACTCAGGTAACCCCATTTTTTGCTCTTTCTGTGACTTAAAACTTAACGAAATCGGGGTTAAAATTAGGCTAAACTGTTTCCTGGCGACGCTC